CCTGAATAGCTGTAAAGATTTATGGATATTTTCTTGTATGATGTTACATTCATAAACAGCAAAGTTTGTAATCTGTTACTTGCATGGATTTTATACTCAGAATACTTAGAGTAATTATTGCATTTCTTTGTTTCCTAATGAATTGAATACATCAGCCATATGTCGGAATAGTTTCTGATCAGAATAATTGAAATATTTTTATTCACTGTTAAGACTAGTTTAGGAAAGCTATTCGTGTAAAAAAAGTGTTTGTTTTGGTCTGTTAAGCTGCATGGTAAGCCTTACCATTTTCTCTTTGTCAACAAATGCGTGAGGCTTGCTTGGTAGGAATTCAATTTGCTGGAACTGCTTGCATTTCTTCTAAGAAGCATATTCCCTTATTCTTCTGATTTCTGAAAGAAGTAATTTATGTGATCTAAAGAAAGTGTAACAATTCTGTGTGACATGCTTGAAAGCTGTTGATTTCCTTTCCTTGGCTGCTTTTCTTTGTCATTGCTCTGATTTTATAAATAACCTATCAAAGAAGATGTGGAATTACAGTGCGTAAACCACAAGCAAAAGGTGTGTGTTTCTCTCTCACCTCTTTTCAGTAGTTAATTCTAAAATGAAGTAACTACAATAACTGTAGTTAATGGAATTAAACTTTAAGGAATATGACGCCATGGGGCATTTCTTGGTTTGTCCTCCTGCTAAATGTGTATCCAGTTTGTTTACAGTGAGGAACTAATTAACATCTTAAAGGATGCTCTAAGCTGTACTATATATGCCTTTGTTTTCTTTGTTGAGAATTGTTTTACGTACACTGTCACTTCGAGTTTTTGTTAAATACCTGTTAAATACCGTTCTGTTTAATATGTTTATTGATAGGTGGTTTTGTGTTTCGGTTTTGTGTTGTGGATTTTTTTTTTTTTCCAAACCATTGAGTTGGCTTTTGTTTTTCCAGTATTGTTGGCTTGTCATTATAAACTTCATGTATTATGTAGAAAACTATTTTTTGGAATAGAAGCTGAGGACACTTCTACTGAGTATCATTAAGCTTTCCAACATTTTGACTATCAACACTTTTGATTAGTTTTCATTGTACAACTATTTCAGTACAAAAGTTGTATTTAGTCTTTTTATCAATATGAGCTCACTTACTTTTTAGTCTTTCTGAAAGTTATGATTTTAAATACGAGTTTAAGGGTTTTAGTACTTAATCCAGCACTGAAAGTGCATGAACGTCTGTAAAGTAGTCTTGTGCATCAGACAAGAGCAGCAGAATGAAAAGACTCTGAGTAAAATAACACAGTGTTGTTCGTCAGTCATGACATGGCCCTGAAAATAATTTTCTTCGTGGTTAAATAAAAAGTTTCTTCAGCTTCTTAGTATTCTTTCATTTTATTTTTCAAAGGCCAGGCAATTGTTCTAATTGCCAACTCTGTCATCACTTAAATTTGAAATATCATAGTGGAGTGAATGAATCTTTTCAAGGACAGAATGACTAGAAAGAAAATCTCATACAATTTTGCTTTTCATCTTGACATTGCAACAGAATTTGCGTTTTATGTTTTCTCATGTGTCTTCCTTATATTTTGGGGTCTTTTAAATCAAACACAACAAAATACCAAGTACCGACTCTGAATTTAGAAATACGCTCATCTTACAATAGTAAATAACTCTCTGGTTACATTCCTGGTAATTCAAAACAGACTAACATTGGTTTTTGTTGGACTGTGAGTCTCCTCTGAATTTCTCATCTAAGGCATCTGTTTAACAATAGAACTGTAGAATTTATCTTTTTATGAAATAATCTTTGTTGATCATATGCAGACTTGTCCTGCAGCGAGTGGCTGTTTGGTATTTAGCTGTCTCTTGCATTACTGAAATTTCTTTCTCCAAGGCCTGTGCTGCAGATCACGAGAAGCATCAGGGTTGTTGAGAGTAAAGGGAAGGAGATTATTTTGTCATCTCTATATTCACATTAACATGATTTTGAACTGGTAGCTCTCAGTTTCTACATGTCTGTTTCCACAGAACACTGTAGATGTGAAAAACAAGCAAAATGCTTTTCCTCCTGTATGCACACTGTAATCAGATGCATGATTATTATAGCTTGTATAGACACGCTTGTGCTAGCTTTAATCTCACTAATTCACATGCCAGCAGTAGCAAAGCTGTGGTAACATAGTCCTTGGTTAGGGGTATGCAGGCTTGTTTTGTTGTACATTGGGTGCTGACTCAGATTAATTGCCTATAGTGGCATCCACATTTCTGTATTCTGTTTTCTTGTATAAGGCTAACAAAATTAAGTGCAATTGAAGTGTATGTAACATACTGCAGTCATATCTCCTAATTGCAGTGCAGATGCGGCCTGTAAGAGAGTGAGCCCTACTCTCCTTCTTTTGAAAGATGATTAGAAAGGTCTGCTCTAGTTTGATAGTTTTAGGATGACCTTTTATCAGAAATTTGCAGAAATCTGGAAGTACTTGAGAACACTTTATGTAAGTGGAATACTAAAAAGGTAAAATTAGCAAAGAGAGCATAAAAATAATAAAATGGAAGCCTTGTTCCTGCAGTCCAAACCATTGTGGAGTCCTAGTGAAATCATTTTATCAGTGCCCTGATGTATTTTATGTGTAAGCCCTCATCCTGCAATCAGATCCTTAATGAAAGAATTCTTCTTTCTCAGGATGTGTTACTCCTAAACAGACATGGTGATTAAAACAGCATTCATCTGATATTGGACTGGTAAGCCAGTAGAAAGGTAGATACACTTACGGGAGAGGACTTTCTCTATGTAGCTCATTTCTAAAATCTCTCTATAGGAAACATGTTAAAAAGATGGAGCCTGCTGTTTACATAATAGGGAGCAATTGTTAGTGGTGCACAGGAACGGACAGCTTGTCAGCATACTGGCATTTGACACACACTGCTCTTATTGGAGGTAGTTCTGTAACTTCATTAAACTCGAGTTTCTTCCAGGGGTTTTAAGAATAGCAACAATTAACATGATCCAGGGATACCAGTGCGGAATTGAATGCCAACAGCAATTCAAAAGGCCATATACACACTGTTCACTCAAGATAGGAGTTCTTATTTTTGTTTGACGGTTTTGCAAAAGCTGCAGAAGATTTTCAGTAAAAGTAGGAGTGCTGAGGAAGCAAGTGATTCTGTTACTTCAAATCCTGTTTACAAGCAAAATGCTAAATTATTTTAGGTCTTTGACCTCTGCAAATATATTTCTTTTCATTTTGATCTTCCTTTTCTATTTGAGGATTTTGGATTACTCTGTGTAGTGCTTTTGTATTTTCAAACGTGATGTAAAGTTTATGTGAAGAAGCTGGTGTGCGAGAAGGTAGCTTGTCAGTTTGATTACTACAGCCATTCCATAGCAAACTTGGATGCAGATGTTGTGTACATGGAGAGTTCAGTCTTAAGTCAATGATTAGACTGGATCTAAAGGACAGATGCCATCGAGGGAAAAATTCTGTCTGTGTATCCCCACTGTTAGCCCCCAGTGGGCTGGTTCAGTGGGCTAGCTCAGAAGAAAACTTTTCCTTGTGAGGAACTTGGTGGCAGCTAACCATTAAATCAGTTTAGAAGTAGTGTGAAATTATAGCTTGGGGCTGTGGTGTGACATGTTTAATCTAGCAATGCCAGTTTAAACACAATCCCTAGATATCAGATCCTCTCAGTTCTCCTTTCTGCTTTCTCCTTTCTGCTTCCTCCTTTGCCCTCAGTCCTCCCACATACACACACGTCAGCCCTTATTCTCACCAGCAAAACAGCTTCTTTTTGCCTTTTTTTTTTTTTTTTAATACTGTGCTACGATACCTGTTACAGATTCTGATTCACACACATCCAACTTCACACAGTACAGGGAGTAACACATGGTGGGGACAGATGCAGGGGATTTGGGGGAAGCTAGGGCTCCCTTCACCCTTGAACTGTTGGCCTAAAGGCTTTTCCAGGACTGCCTTTCTGTGAAGCAGTTTTTCCCCATAGAGTATTTTGCATCCAGTTGGGGTACACTTGCTTCCTCACCCATATTTCACTTTGTGCGATTTCCTGATTTTTACAGAAAAATGGACAGCATTACTCTAAATTTTATCCTTTGACTTGTTTTCGGGAGATGCTTTGGTAAATGCTGGGAGGTACAGAAGTTCCTAAGCAGGTAATGCACTTTCCAGCTAGTACTGCATCTGCTCTGCCTATAAAATATGACTATTAGAGATTAAATAAGCAAGTTTAGTGCCTTGCTTCTGCTGAGAGAGTAAGGAAGTAGGTGCCTGACTTGCTCAGGAGTTACTGTATGTCCCACTGGTTGCACCTGACCTGTAAATGTTTAAGCCAAACCATTCACGTCAGGCTGCTGTTGTACTGAAATGTGCATTTAGGAAATGTACACTTTTTGGAGGTGTTGTCTGCCTCCACCCCCAGGATATCACTGTACGTAGGTGAGCGCTGAACATGTGAATGTTGAAATATAGACATGGGGGCTCCTTTCGTGGCATACTTTACTGTGTATTTTCGAGACACAAGTAATGATTTCTCAGTGCTAGTCATGGAGGATTCTGTTTTGAAGCATAAAGTGATATCCCCCCCCTCTGGAAAAGGAGATACAGTTTTTCTTTATCAGAAGTTGTGCTTTGAAATTACACATTTATATGCAGGTGATCTGTTTTGATATTTAAGTAGTATATCTGTTCCAGGGAACCTAGTTTGCAAAAAATAAAATCTTTCTTTTTAGGTTTGAATTTTAATGCATGTATTTTATAA